ATCGAAACAAAAAAAATCAAATATTTGGGAATAAATCTAACAAAAGAGGTAAAGGACCTATACAAAGAAAACTATAAAACACTGTTAAAAGAAATAGAAGAAGACACAAAGAAATGGAAAGACATCCCCTGCTCATGGATTGGAAGAATAAACATTATTAAAATGGCCATCCTACCAAAAGCAATATACAGATTCAATGCTATTCCAATCAAAATCTCAATGGCATTCTTCAAAGAAATAGAACAATTATTGATGAAATTCATATGGAATCACCAAAAACCCCGAATAGCCAAAGCTCTACTGAAAAAAAAAGAAGGAAATGGAGGCATCACACTCCCAGACTTCAAACTATACTACAAAGCCATAATCATCAAAACTGCATGGTATTGGAACAAGAACAGACATACAGACCAATGGAATCGAATAGAAAATCCAGAAATAAACCCACAGATTTATGGTCAACTAATCTTTGACAAAGGAGCAAAGACTATGCATTGGAGCAAAGAAAGTTTGTTCAATAAATGGTGCTGGGAAAACTGGGTCGCTACATGCAAAAGAATGAAGCTTGACCACTACCTCACACCATACACAAAAATCAACTCAAAATGGATTAAAGAACTAGACATAAGACCTGAAACCATAAAATACATAGAAGGAAATATAGGCGAAACACTACGGGATTTGCACATCAAAGACATCTTTACAGACACATCACCCAAAGCAGTGATAGTGAAGACAAAGATAAACAGCTGGGACTACATCAAATTAAAGAGCTTCTGCACAGCAAAAGAGACAATAACAAAAACAAAGAGAAACCCCACCAACTGGGAGAACATTTTTGCACCCAACACTAATGATAAAGGACTGATCACAAAAATCTGCAAAGAGCTGATGAGACTCAGCAACAACAAAGAAAATAATCCAGTCAAAAAATGGGCAGAAGAGCTAAAAAGAAACTTCTCTGAAGAGGAAATGCAAATGGCCAACAGACATATGAAAAAATGTTCAACATCACTTGTAATCAGGGAAATGCAAATCAAAACTACCATGAGATACCATCTCACACCAGTGAGAATGGCACATATTAAAAAAACTAGCAACAACAAATGTTGGCGAGGATGTGGAGAAAAAGGAACTCTTGTGCACTGTTGGTGGGAGTGCAAACTGGTCCAACCACTATGGAGAGCTGTGTGGAGATTTCTGGACCTACTAAACATAGAGCTTCCATATGATCCAGCAATTCCACTCCTAGGTATTTACCCAAGGGACACAGAAACATCAATTCCAAAGAGCACCTGCACTCCTATGTTTATAGCAGCACTGTTTACAATAGCTAAGCTTTGGAAACAACCCAAATGCCCAAAAATAGATGACTGGATCAAGAAGATGTGGTACATATATACCATGGAATATTACTCAGCATTCAAAAAAGATAAACACATGCAATTTGCAGCAACATGGATGGCACTGGAAGGGATCATGCTCAGCGAAATAAGCCAAAAAGAAAAAGAAAAATACCGGATGGTCTCACTCATAGCAGGAATCTAGAAAACTTAAATAAGGGACCAGGAAAATGAATATAAGAAAGTGAAAATCAAAATCAACAAAAAACTATGAACCAGAGACACTTTTTGGGGGGTGGGGGGCGGGAGGGGAAGGATTGGGGTCAGAATGGGGCGTTTGCAATTGTATGGGGGAATATAAAAATAAAATTTAATATTTAAAAAAAAAAATAAATAAATAAATAAATAAATAAATAAAATTACCCCAAGGAAGACTTCTTCCTGTTTCTACCATTGAAGACACAAAGGTACACAAAACAAAGGCCCTGCCCCTTAAGAAATGCTTTTGGCAAGAGGAAAATGGAGGCAAAGGAGATGTTCCTAAGGCAAGACAATTCAGAAGCACCCTACCACATAAACATATTCAAGAATGGCAGTGGGTGTACAGCAGGTTTAGAGCTACAAACTGCTGGAGTGATACCAGGAAGTCATCAGGATAAATTTCCATGACAACAGCAATAATGATCCCAGTCCATCTTTCCAGGGAGGGAGCCAAGTCCATTCCCCCCAGAGATGGCATATGCTACCAGCTGGAATCCCTTTTGGGCTTTGAAGACCAACCTTGGCTGTCATGGGTATCATTACTCACTCCCCCATTCGGCACCAACATGCCTTCATTTTGCCAAGCATTCCTATCACTCCTCCCTGTGCCAGGGTTAGATACAGAGCTGGTGGTAATATTATCCTCTATGAAATTGAAGCTGCCTCAAATGGAAAAAATGTGCCCATGTAAGAATCTGGAATATACCAGAAGACTTACTCTACAAGGAACCTATCAAATTTAAACATGTGCCATCTTAAACATCAGTGAAAGAATAAAAAAACTGCAATCTAGCAAACTGATTTTCCTGAATGTTTTTCTCATCTTAATGCAAAAAAATTTCTTCTCCTTTTGTCATGAAGAAATTTCCGAAGGACCCTATTTTACAATTGGAACAATCCAAAGAATGCTTCCAAAAGATTTGCGTACTTCAGTTATGGAAAGAATAAAGTGAACAGTTGGCAATGGTAAATAAAATAAGTTTCCCAGGTTAAAAAAAAATTACACACTAACAGGAGGACAGGCTTGTTCTTACACAGCTGCCATTTGGTCTCTGGAGCTCACTGTACTGCTCATTCCCAAGGAATAGAGCTCGGGCTTCATTCTGTTCATCACCTAGTCAGGTGACCGTCCAGGTGTCAGAGGTGCGATCCACTTGTCCACTTTCATCTGCTGAGACTCCCAGGGAATGCTTTTACAATGACTATTATACTAAACTTCAAGTCATTACTAATCTCCCTGTGGCAATATCATTACTGTGGCATCGAAAACAAGTCCAAAGGCAGAAAAAGGGCACTGACTTCCTAAGATGCAACCTAAGAGCAATACAAAATACATTTTATTCAATGAAACTGGATTAGTGTTCCATTCATTTTGCTAATGCACTTCTCTTTGAAGCTAAAGGATCTCTTCTGTACTATTTAAGAGTAGTCACTGACTGGCTTTTGCGAATTTAGCACTATAACAATACAGAAAAATTATTTCATAAAAAAACACCTTTCTATCATGGTCTCTGACATCATCTCGCTAATGTGATTAGTCATTCATTCTTTTAATGAACACATGTGTTAGTATTCATGTACCAGGCACACTGGTAGTCATTAAAAAGATTAAAGTCAAGATACCTAATAGGTAGTGAAAATCTAAGAACAGAATCAGAAACAGATGAATAATAAGAACACAGTAGGGATTTCAGAAATGAGCAAAGCACTGTGGGGACTAGCACCCAGGAGACAAGGGACTAGGGGACAGTAAGTTGAGATTTTCACACTCCCACAAGTGTAACCGATGCCCACAGAGAAGAGTGCATTTTCCTTCCGTGCAGGGATTTAGGCCATGGCTAAATGACCATCTGTCAGAGAGATGCTGTAGGTGGGGATTCCCCCCAAGTGAGAGGTTGGATTAAGTATCCTTTAAAGTTCCTTCCAACTCTAAAATTATGTAATTCCATGAGATCAGCAAAGGCTAAAAAAATAATAGGAAGCTTCAGAGAGGAAGGAAAACTTGAATTAGGCCCAAATGATAGCTGGGACCTAAAAAAAACAGAAGATAGAGCTTAAGACATTCTGTCTTATTCCTTTTCACTAAACGTATGCCATGTCAGTCTGCAAAACAGATTAACCAGGTCAGAAACTGGGACAAACACTAAGAATTCTAAACCTAGTAGAATATTGAGTGATATGGTCAGAATTCTGTATTTTACTAGAAAATAACAGACATCAGAGTTTTCTGTATCATATTTAAGAAACTCATTTTCGTAAGGCATTAACAATAGCATTTAAAACATAATCCTACTATAGTATACTCTAATTATAAAAATATACTTAATGAAAAGATCTGCATGAGTTTATATTGTTATTTGACAAGGAATTTAAAGAGGCCCTGAAATTTGTATCATTTGGCTACATTTCTCATTGGCCTTAAAAAAAAAAAAAAAACCCACACTGATTTTTCCACTTAACATAATTCTTTTCCCTTTTCTTTTCCCCATAGCTGTCCTATTACCAATGCTCACATTTCTTATTTAAGAACCTTCACTTTACAATTCCAAGATATACATGGCAATCTCAAGCAGCCAAGAACACATTAAAAAGTCAAGAGCTAAAATGTCCTTTAAATTTTCTCCAATATTCACAGGAACACACAGTCTTTGGACAACATGCTATGTCCAACACCATCATTCAAATCATTAGCAAGTAATTGCTGATATCACAATATACTTAATAGATTAAATCAAAGGATAGGATGGGTTTACTAGCATGTTCGCAGCACATCAAAATTATGGTATTTCCTGACGGAAGAAATCCTATACTGTCAAAAAAATTAACAAGGATGTAAAACAATGGTACTTCTTTTAAAAATAACTTTTTAGGGCCTCCCTGGTGGCACAGGCGGTTAAGCGCTGCACTGTGAAGCTGTCCGCAGCCTCTGCAGCATGGGTTCGATCCCGGCCGGCCTGTAAGAAGCCCACATGGCGAAGCAGACCTCTCCTGGCTCACCCACTGCTCCCCTCAGCAGTGTATTTCAGTCCGTCTGCCTGTTCTGTTCCCTGCTCTGTCTCTGGTAAATCCTCTCACCCTCCCGCGCATCTGGCCTGTACCCCGGTTCTTGTATAAAAATAAATTAAAAAAAAACTTTTAAAAAAATTGTGTTATTTGAGCTGGAAAAAATGCTGATCACGGGTTTGGATCACAGGTGATAGAAATTTAGTTGAGCATATAAAAGTATGAGTGTGTGCTGAGAACAACTGGTAGAATGACAGCAATAGAGCCCACGCCAAGCACTGTTAAGTTTGAAAACAAAAAGCAACACAATGAACTGTGCAAACAAGAAATGCTATTCTACTTCCAGTATCAGAATCAGTTCCTCAGAAGTTAATGGTCTAATTCCCAACTTACCTCTTTTTCTGAGAGGTTCAGGGTAAGCAAATGCAAGGTTCTAGTATGGGATGATTTCCAGTCTACAGGCATCACATTTCCATAATTATCTGTCAGGGCATTCCAAATCCTTGAAAAGAAGAAAACTCAGTCACTGAAAGTAAACATTCTGAACATCTTTTATTAAAAAAAAAAAAAAAAAACCCATACTATAGTAAGAAAGAAAAAAACACTAAATATCAAAGGGAAAAAGTAGGTATACTATTTCTCAGAAAAATGTGAATAAGGTGTAAGTCTCCTATATAAGATTGAATGAAAATTAAATGATTGGCTGACAGAGCTACATATATAGAGGTCATAAAGAAAAAAACACACTATCATTTCTAAGAGGTCTCTAATTGTGAAGAAGCCATTAAATAATTGAGAGGTTTTTACCCTAAGTGTGTAAGACACTAGGATACAAAAATAAGACCATTAGGGATATAAAAATTAGAATGCAAGCTTAAAAATAAAAAAGCAACATACTTTTTTTTTTTAAAGATTTATTTATTTATTTATTTATTTATTTATTTATTTATTTATACAAGCACTAGGTACAGTCAGAAGCACAGGAGGATGAGAGAATTCACCAGAGCCAGAGCGGAGAACAGAACAGGCAGACAAAGTACACTGCTAAGGGGAGCAGCGGGCGGCAGGAGAGGTCTGCACACCATGTGGGACCCTTGCCCAGTGGCCGGGGATCAAACTGGCGCTGCAGAGGCTGCGGGCAGCTTCGCAGCCCAGCGCTCAACCACTATGCCACCAGGGGAGGCCCAACATACTTGTTTTAATGAACACAGGTTTAGTGATAAAGAGAAGTAGCAATAAGACTACAGCTGCCAAAGGCATGAAATTCCAAACTAGCTAGGCTTTGGGATGCATATTACCCTCAATGAAAATATGAACCCAGAAAGTTCTAGAAAACTGGCTCATTTACCCAGCAAATCTCTTAAGCATGGTTCATCCCCATTCTTTTCTCTGCGGGAATCATAATCCCTTTGATGCCTAAACTCAGGTTGGAGGTCACACCTCTGCATTGCTAAACTTTCTGGGTTTCTGGCCTACACCTTCCTGGGTAAAAAAAAAGTCTCAAAAACTGAATAACTGACATAAAACTAAGCCTGGTCAGGAACTTGGATAGTCTAATATGTGGCGACAGTCCAGAGTTTTTGAGATTTGTTTTGTCTGCTTGTTGGCCCCTTCTTAAGTGAAACTGTAATTGAGGTTTGTTTGTGACAAGATGAATTTGATCTTCCAAGAAAGGGAAGGATAATTAACAGTCCTCTATCTCCATCAAGGTCAGAACAATTATGGGGGAAAGGACACAGGGTCAACTTAAGTAAAAGATGTCTAGATTTCTCAAGAAATGTGAATTGCCTTCATCCTTATCCTAAAGGATTACATCCAGTCATAAACAACTGGCAAAACAACTCATTTCCAACGAGGTTAAAGTCCTGCCAACATGGAATCCTGCAAGAAACCTTTCTCAAATAGAAGCCGGGGAGATTATAAAACCCATATTTACTAAAATTAAACCGGGGCTCAGAGAAATTAAATAAGTTACCTAAGGCAAGGCAGTATCTATCAAGCCATGGAGAAGAGATTTAAACAAGAGAAAGGGGACAGACAATGAGAGGGGCTACTAGTCCCTGGTCCCAAAAAGAGATTTCTTATGTATTATTATTTCCAAATCAAGCGACAGGCACTACCACCAACTACCACTACCAGAAACTATTATCAAGAGTAAAATTTCTTTAAATTTTCTATCAACCTAAGATTTAATCAAAGAATAAAACCAATTATGTCCCAGACATATAGGCAAAGCACAAATAGGGAAACAAATCTGCGTGTACAAACCAATCATCTATTTTGAAAAGTTACTCTTGATAAATCCAAATACATAAAAAAATATAATTTAAAATCCAGAATATGTCCTGAATTATAATGATTCCATATATAAGTCTACTTATATAAAACCGTCTTCTCTTTGGAAATAGACTTTCAAGTATATCACCTTTTGCCACTGGCTGCATGCATACATATTTGTGCATATAAAATCCAATCATAAGTTCTTTCCTCTACATCTGGGCAGAACACGACACAGAGGTACCAATGAAAAGGTATGTTCTCCAAGCTCAGCCACACTTACAGGCCCCTATTCCCAAACACCTTTTCCCAAGCTTCCTGCCTTACTCCTAATAACTCTGGTGCACAGAAGAAAGAAAACCATCAGGCTGGAAGCCCCTTTCACTCTCAGCCTCTCCAGAAACTCCTCTCCCTCTGTGTGTGTGTGTATGTGTGTGTGTGTATTAGATATTCATGTAATATATATGTGACATATATGTATATTTTTATGTTACACACACACACATATAAAATACATATAACAGGCTCAAGTTTCCTCCCTCTTACTCTCTTTGGGTAAGTCCAAGGCACATAATTACAACTCTTATTTAACCAAATTATACTTGGGTTAAATGAAGTGTCCCCAGGAACTCTGCCCCTAGATTTCATAAATCCCTGTGAATTTTCCATTACTGTACTAATGATGATTCTGTAATAAGTACCTGTTTATGCACTGGTCCAGAGCCTTTCCTGGTTTTTTGTTATGTTTTTTTGCTCAGGGGAAGGGGAGAGAGGGACTTGCATTCCACCTGAGCTCTCAACTGGGCCCAATAAATTCTTGCACAGAAATGCTGCTTCAACCCTAGTACCTTTGCACATGCTAGCCAACACACTCAACGAATCCTACACCTTTCTTCACCTTCCAGACAAAATCCCACTAGCTCAGCAGGACAGATTTCACACTTCTTTCTCTATGAAGTCTTTCTAGACTCTAGACTCTCCCCCCTGCCCCACACACACTCTTTTAAATCTATTACGTTGCACATATATCCATTAGAACATTTGTCACACCCACACAAATGCTTGATCACAAATCCAGCTCGCACCCTAGGTTGTGCCTTACTTGAGAGGGGCAGTGTGCAGACATCTTGCTATTGCAGGTGTGAAGCAATCTCTGGCACTCAGCCGGGGCTTAACAGCTGTTACCTGGATGAATTAAACGCTGCACCGGTACCCGAGGAGGTACCAGCAGGTACGGATCCACCCCCAGCCCTGCACAAGATCACCCTCTACACAAAACTTAGGTTGGTTTCTAGGGAGGAGGAGAGCAGTGGCAGGGGGGTTAGGGGGAGTTAAAGTAGAGTGGGGAGCAGGGAGCAGATTTAAATCACACAAGCGGGGACCCCAAAACCCGCAGGCAGGCGGTGGGGGGCCAGCGGGGCGGGGACTCCAGCCCATGGAGGCGGAAGGGCAGCGTGGGGAGGAGCCTGCGGCCCAAGTCCCACAGAGGCTGCAGCCGGGGCCCGCCGGCAGGGCAGGGCAGGGCAGGGCAGGGCGAGGGGAGGCCGGGCAGGGGAGGCTCCCGCCCGCCGCAGACCCCCAACTCACTCGTCCCCCTGCAGGAGGCCGCCCTCGGTGATGGGCCGCACGGCCGCGCGCGGGGGCTCGGCGCCGGGCCCCGAGGGGCGGAAGCACAGGCTCAGCTTCTCCTCCAGGCTGCAGGCCAGCGCCAGGAAGCCGTCGCCACCCGCGCCCGCCCCGGCCTCGGCGCGCGCGGGGCAGTTCTCCTGGCTCGGGAGGCTCCGGGCGGACTCCTGGAACTCATAGAAATCCTCCCAGTCCGCGTCCGCCGCCATCACCGCCCGGCGCCGCCGCTGGCCCCGCCCCCGCCGGGCCCGCCCTCGACGCCCCGCCCCCGCGCCAGGCCCCGCCCCCGCGCCAGGCCCCGCCCCCAGCCCCCGCACCTGGAGCATCTCGCCCGGCCGCCCCTCCGCCGCCGAGGGTCTTACCTGGGCCTGTGTCTCCTCAGTGTTGACCACCTGTCCCCAGAGAAAGGAAAACCTGAACTGGGCTGAGTCACGTCCTATGTTCTCTGTCTGTCCGGAATAGCGTCAGGCTTGGCTTCCCTCAGTGGGAATCTGCCCTAAATGTGGTGAAAATAAAGGGTTTCTTTAAACTTGCGACCTAGTGTCAGACGGTGCCGGAGCTCGTTTCCCCAGAGTAGCTTACGTCAACCTTGAAATGAAACTGCAAGGTCTTTTTCTGATCAAATTAAGTTGATTCCAGAAGAGCAGAAGATTGCAGTCCGGGTACCGCAAACTGGTGGACCGTAGGCAAGTTGGAGGAGGCAGAAGGAAGGTAGGCTTTTATAAAGTTTTAGTCGGAAATTGGAAAGAGCTGTTTCGGGTAAGTTCATTGAGAATCGGAGTTTGTGGTGGTTTTTCATTGGCTGAAGGAGGGGGACAGCTTCTTGTGGCCCGGCAAGGAGGTGTCCTGTGAACTCAAGGGGAAGCAGGTGCATCAGAGCCCTCCCTCATAGCTACCGACTCCATTTTGAATCAGGTGCCTTTATTCGATTTCACACCGGCTCCTTTTATAACTTTCCAACCAGAATAACAGCGACATTTGAAAATGCTCAAGTGGTAGCGAAATTCATTCCGCAAATATTTTGTCTCCCACGCCCACATGCTAGCCACTCTGCAACATACTAAGGTGAACAATTATGTGAGTTAATATTTGCAAAGCATTAAGCATGACTGGAAGGAGGGAGTTGTTTCGTGAGTATAGTTTCTGTTTCAAAAGATGAAAAGGGGGCCTCCCTGGTGGCGCAGGCGGTTGAGCGCAGCACTGTAAGGCTGTCAGCAGCCTCTTTAGTGAGGGTTCGATCCCGGCCAGCCAGGGAGATACCCACATGGCGTGGCAGACTTCTCCTGTCTCAACCACTGCTCCCCTGAGCAGTGTATTTCGTCAGTCTGCCCGTTCTGCTCCCCGCTCTGTCTCTGGTGAATCCTCTCACCCTTCTGCACATCCGGTCTGTACCCCTGTTCTTATATAAATAAATATAAAAAAAAAAAAAAAGATGAAAAGTGTTCTAGAGAGGGATGGTGGTCATGTTGCACAAAAATAATAATGTACTTTATGCCACTAAGCTGGTTATGCAAACTTAAAAATGATTGACATTATGCACATATAATTTTACATTATGTGCATTTTACAATTAAAAATATGAGTATGATTATAGGGGTATGTGAATATGCAGAGGAAATAAGTACTTAAGGATTGATAGGAGCCATATTTTTTACTGTAATTGTTAAATAATTAATTTGATGAGTGGGACAGAGTTGGGGGATGAAAGATGAGTTTATAGGTTGAAAGATATTCTGAAGTTAATAACAGAAAATAAGATTTTCCAAGTATGCTTTGTCCATCTCTGGACAGCACGGAAACCCATCCTCAAGAATACATGTTAATACCAAAATTTCCTATTTCCAAATCATATTGCAATGATTTGTCCCATATTAAACAAATTACTTGTATAGTCAAGCCTAAGAAAGTGTTGATAATTAATTTAAAAGCACTATCATTCCCTTGTTCTTTCTTTTGAAACCGCAAAAGGATTTAAGTGTTAACCTCTAATTGGCCTAGAGCTAGAACTAAATATTCAACAATAAACAGCTTTTGGGTTGCTGAGAAAATATTCTAACTCAGGTGATAGTCACCTACCTATCTGAACATTACTCAAAATTGATACTCTAAGAGAATCAAATATCTGGTTTTCTGTAGGTATTTGACTATACACTCAAGATTCTTATAAACTATCCAGTTTACTCAGATCCTCCTAATTATGTAGAGTTAAAGCAAATTGTTTTTGTTGTGTTTTGTTTTTTGTTTTTTTTTTTCTGACTCCTAACTCCATTTACCTGTATGGTGTGTATGTATTAGTAGAATTGAAAAATTACTCTTAGGACACAAACACTGTCAAATTTCTCATATGTTTGCAAATAAAATGCTACCGGGATGACTTTAGTGGTCTCAGAATTTTATTCTAGTCAAATTTACCACATGGGATGCTTTTCATTTTTAATTAAATACAAATTACCTGGTATCACCCCACTTTGATTACCCCGTTGTGAAAATAGGATTTGAATCACTTAACTTATATGTAAACCCATAGTAACCTGGCATTCAACACTATCTATTAAAGTGTTTCCAAAGGAATGTGATTATAAGAAAACTGACTATGGGCCTCCCCGGTGGTGCAGCGGGTTAAGCGCAGCGCTGTGAGGCTGTCCACAGCCTCTGCAGCACAGGTTCAATTCCTGGTCAGCCAGGGAGATTCCCACATGGCAAGGCAGACCTTTCCTGTCTCGCCCACTGCTCCCCTCTGCTATATATTTTGGTCGTCGGCCTGTTCTGTTCCCCACTTTGTCTCTGGTGAATCCTCTCACCCTCCCCTGCCTCTGGCCTGTACCCCAGCTCTTGTATAAAAATAAATCTTAAAAAAAAAAAAACAAAAAAAACAACGAAAACTATGTCACTTTATGGCAACAGAGCAATGAAATTAGAAAGAAACTAATATAGAATAAAATGTTAATTGATGCTTTTGTAGATTTTAAATAATTATTGAGAAAGTAACAGCAGAAAGTAGTTAAAATTATAGAATGCTTGTACCAAGTAATATTAAAGTAGCGATATTTCTTTTCAATGCCTACCACATACCTCTCTTCCCACATGGTACCTGGTCACTGCAATTGCTCCTCGGCTTCGAGAATATCCTATAGGAGACATGCTGTGACTAGGTTCCAACTAGGTAGTTATTTCCTCTTTAAGCTCCTTCGGCTTTTGACTCAGACTGCTTTCTTTGGAGAACTCTACTCCCAGTTTCAATTCCCTAAACCCTTTTACTTAACATTTCCCTGATTGCAACCTTATAGCAACTCTCCTTCCCATTGGTCAAATGCTAATTTTCCAACCTTACCATAGATCTGGTAAAACCACAGGTTGCCCTCCAGCCTCACTTGTTTTGATTAATCCATCAATACTCAGAGGTTTCTAATTAAGAGGTTATCTCATTTCATTGTCTAACTTATCTCCCCACGTTTATTTCAAGCTTTTATTTCCTCCCAACTCCTAGATGATAGATGAAAATGAACACGTAAACATGTTTACTCACTTCACCTATTTAGAAAAGTTGTCTCTAGATTGATTTTTAGCCCTTGATTCAAAATTAGAAAGTGCTTTTATAGAAAGAACTGCTTTATAGAGAACTTCATAACACTTGATTTGTTTATATTAATCTTTTAAGATAAGTTATTTTTTGTATGACAATGTATTTAAATTTTGCACACATAAAATATATCATGGTGGGAATTTAAGTAACAAAATTTGGTAAAGGTTATTCAACATATAGACCACCTAAGAGGAATACAGGGAACTACTGAATGCAGGACTAGAAAGTATCTACTTGTCAAAACATAGCTTATAGTGAATGCTGAAGATGTTGCAAAGCAAAGGTAAGACAATGATGAAGGTTCATGATAACTTCTTGAGAAAAGCTAATCTAATTGACTAAGTTTATTCAATAACTAGGGAAAAAAATCAGAACTCAAGAAACAAAACTAAAAAGAATTTAGAAATCCATTATGTTGACCAAGAATGTAAAGAAGGTTTGCTTGCCCAACGAGGGAAAGTTACCTCCCTTCCATTTAAAAAAAAAAAAAATCAAGATACCTTTGAGTCAGAGCTCTAAGTCCAGTCTTCATTAGTAAAGAACATTTAAATCTAGTTATTCCAGTGTGATAGAGTTGGGGCTTCTATGTCAAAGATCAGATTTGGGTCTTGATCAGACAGAACCATCTGAGCAGGTCGGTCACCAGAGGAAGGAGGCATGGTGTCTGGTCAGGGCAGCACCCTTAGGTGTCAAAGGGGCAACACAGGGAAAACATGGACAAGCATAATTTATTTTGTGGCCTCCTTTAGGACTAAAAATTGTAGAACTATCATGATAGAAATGTAATATATTTTCTCCTTAATTCTTCTCTTCAGAAGATTGTGATCTTGTTTTTCCATATTTTTACTCACCACTAACTTTCCCATAAGAAAGTTCTTCTAACCTTGACCCACCAAGCTGATATTTTTATGCACAAATAAAGTGACACTGAGTTTGTACCTCTGTCGTGGCAGTCTTTGGATATATTCCAATATCTTTATCTCCCAGAGCCTAACCACTGCTTACATTTAATGAACCTTTCATTCTGAATTATTTGTCTCATGACTAATTCCTTTAGGTCAAAAAAAATTAGAAAACGAATATAGAGTGGAAGAAAACAGACCCATGTTGCCCAGATAATGGGGTGGTGGTTGAGGGTAAGAGAATGATCAGAAAATGGACAAGAGGAAAACTGCTGAAATGGAAATATTCTATAACTTGAGTGTGAGGGTAACAGTATTTCTGTGTGTACTTAACAAGCAGTAAGCTTAAAATAAGTACATTTATTGAAGGAAAATTTTAACTCGATAATTTTTTTTAATGTGCCTTTATAGCCAAGAGATGGAAACTGCCCAAATGTCCATTGATAGATGACTGGATAAGCCAAGTGTGGCATATGCATAAAACGGAAAGTTTTCAGCCTTAAAAATTAATGAAATTCTAACAGGTTACAACATGGATGAAACTTGAAGACATTTACAAATGAAGGCATCACAAAAAGACGTGGATGACTCCACTTATGTGAGGTATCCAGAGTAGGCAAAGGAATAGAGACAGAAAGAACAATAGACTGGTTGTGGGATGGGGTTGGGAATTTCATGTTTAACTGGCATATCTCCAGTTAGGATCATGGAAAAGTGCAGCTGGATGGTGGTGATGGCTGTACATAACGT